TTTACCTCGCATCTTGGTCAGAAGTTGGATGGGACTCCTGAATTTATTAAAAGAAGGAACTCTTCTTCCTGAGAACATTTTCATTTTGAACAGTATTTATAGCACTTTCAATTTGATAGTATTGCCTTTTTTGATGGCTGTGCATTTTATTAAATGATAGAATGGATCCTTTAATTTCAGTGGTTTGTTCAGGTTCTAAACATCCTATGATTTCACTTGGCTGTTAGTGCAAGTTCTTACCAGGAAAGACAAGATATGTCCAATATTGGTTACTTCTGAGGATGTGGCCAGAATTCCATAGGTCAGTAAGGGGCCATGACATGCTTCCAACATCCACGTTTTTTCTAGTAGCAGAAACTTTGAGTTAGCTAGAAGTTTAAAATATAAGTTTTAAATCCTTTTTTATCCAAGTCTATACAGTAAAATACCTTAATTTAATTGATTGCGGGGCACATGTCTGTTTTAGCTATGTAGATATATATTTTGAAAAGCTCTTGTTTCTAGAGACTTAAGATTTTGTTTGGGAAAAATATTGTTGAATGTGGGAGAATTTCCATTTCTAGTCTCAGAAGTATAAACCTGAAACTGTGAGGGCTAAACAAATGGACAAGTAGAGTATATGCACAGACAAGAAATAAAATATTCAGTATATGCACAGTGTGTCTATGGATCCATGCTCCATCTCTGCTGTTTGTTATCTTATCCTTAAGCTTAGCAACACTATGTACTTGAACAATGTGTATTGCTATGTTTTTCTGTTAGTGTGATATATGTTGAACTATGCCTCATAATCTATATGATATAGCCAAAAACAGCTTGACATGGCACAATTTGGGCGATTTGCAGTTATTTAAATAGAATATAGCATCCCTTTTCTTATGCTATGGGATGTGCTATGTGCCCCTCAAGTTTTGCATAGGGTGTTTTTGTTCAGTTGCACACCTCATTCAGAAAATATTAGAATACTTATTTAAGCATATTTTAACTATTTCTTTGCTTGGACTGGTGATTAAATAAAGAATATGACCCAGGATGCATTGTGGTTGATGCAAGGTTAAGGAGGAAATAATGATGTGGACAAATACTATCTATTGATTGATTTACAAATTCCCAAGAGTATCAGAAACTAACCTGATGTATCTGTTGCTAGATTTTACCTTTAATTTCTGAGTCATTTCTAATGTGTGAAGCTGTATATTAGTGTGTCTGTTAGCTGTGTTTTTTGAAGAAACTTGTATTTCTTATTCCAGGCACTACATTAAATTTCTAGTCTTTATGAAATTTATGCCCATTTTTATAGACGTTAACAGCTTGCATGTGCATGTGAGACATCACCAAGGCATGTCCCTTGTTTGTAATTTTCATGTATTCATTCACTGGCATCTTGGAACCCTGTAACTATTTAAAATAAATACTTTTGGAAACAAGTAGTCTAACATGGCTAAAATACACAGCAGAAGCAGTCTAAGCACATCACATTTATTAATTTAATTATTCATTTGATTTATATGCTGCCCTTCCCAATAAATGCTCAGGGTGGCTTACAGTAAAAGACAAAAATATAGGAACAGAGAAAAATATTAAATAAGAAGGTTGAACAAAATAAACTTCTACCCCAACGTCCACAACAGTCAAAAGCTTTCCATCTCAACCTTTCCTGCACCCCTGCCTATGACAAAGGAAAACATCTCTCCCCTGCCCAACCTAATCTTGCATCCCAAACTCCATTCAGTATCTCCATAAAAGAAAAGAATAATTTATGCTCCCTGTACTTCCTTCCTTCCCTATCCACTCCCACTGCAGATCCCCTCCCTCACACCCAGGGGAGTTTCCTCTTCGTCTTTACTATCCCTTCCAGTCTTTGTTGTAGCTCAGGGTCAGACCTGAGATCAGAACTGAAGTTCTGATGTTTTCACAGTTATCAGAATCTGAAGAATTTCAGTATTTTAAGACCCACGTTTTCCATTTACAGACAAAGGGCAAAAATCCCTTTTGCAAAGTTTACCTTAGAATAAGATATGGATGAGTTTCAAACCGCTTAGGTTTGGACATTTTTTTTTAAACTGGAAAATTAATGGAACTGGAATTTCAGAGATCATGGAAAATTGTTGTGATTTCAGAGAGGGAGACTTACTGGATTTTTAAAAAAATTCTAGAAAACCTGTTGTGTGTGCTATGTAATATAGCGAAGGCAGCTTGAGGAATTTCTGGCATCTTACTACTTGCTTTTTTGTAGAAACTCAAAGGGTGCTTCTGCAATGATAGGTGAAAATGATGGTATTGTAATAGGAAAAATATTGGGGTAACTAACATTGTATTTCTCTGTAATGTTCTATAAATTACGTCATATATTTGTGGTGTAGTACATGAGAATACTCTTTGTGACCCCTACAGTGAGCTACATAACAGGTAAAATACAGTGTGGCAGGGTATGGATACAGAGGAGACCCTTAAGAATCTGATCTTTAAACTGGATGACATGGGTCAGAAAATAGTTTGGGCATAGACAGATGTACCAGTTGCATTGCTATCAAAGAAAACCAAACACAGCTGTTACAACACAATAGATGAACACCTTGCTGGGGTCGTTTGACCCCAGTACTCTTTCCTGCCATGGCAGGGGGTCAGACTAGATGATCTTCTCAGGTCCCTTCCGACCCTAGAAACTATGAAACGCAGCTGTCATGTTTGCATGATTCTGTAGTGATACAGAAGCAAAACTGCTTGGATTTGAATTTAGGATTAGGGTCAAAGTTAGGACAATTTAGCTGACTTTTATTGACCCAGGATCATGGAAATGTAACAGCAACAGCTCCTCTTCCCCTTTTAAAGCAGTAAAATATGTTTGTCCATGCCCTCTGTTTGCAAAAGCTGAATAGGGATTAGTAACCACTGACACTGCTACTGAAGTCAGAAACCCCTGGCATTCTTGCCAGCGAGAGCATGATAAGCAGTCTGATTTGGCCTCTCAAAGTTAAACTGATAAAGATGCTGTTGGTTTTGCTTTCTGGCGGTGGAATAGAGTAGAACAGAACTGTGAACAAGGAATTGGGAAGATGCCAGCAATTAGGGAAGATGTGGACAAGGAGAATAGGAGTAAGCAGAAAGCAGAAGATGTACACGTGATTAGAAGGTAAAATATCATTCTGCAGAAGTGTCGTGTGTGTGTTAAACTGTGGTAGTATGAGAGTGATGTTATAGCCATGTTGGCCCAGAAATTATGCAAGAGGCAAGGATTTCTTAGGGTGATATCTTTTCTTGGGCCAACTGTGTAGTTTGGATCAAGATAGACAAGCTTTCAAATGCAAGCCAGTAGTTAAGGTTTTACTGTACAGGTAGATGTTGGCAGAATATGTGAAATTTAAATGTAGAGGTTCCAGGTAATAATGATGTGTATTCCTGGAATTTAGAACAATATGCCTAATATTAAGCATCTGAATAGCTTCATTGGCTACAGTGGGACTGTTTAACGTACTTAAAGATGGGTAGAAGATTAAATAACTTCCTGATTCTAGGCATTAATAATGACTTAATTTTTCAAACATTTAAGTATGGCAAGAATGGGATACAAAACTCAAAAGTTTTGCACCTCTCTTGTAGTAGAGAATTATGCTTCTGCAGTTGATATTTTGATCATATTCACTTGACTATTTACTTCTAGGGTAGAATATGCAGTTAAAATGCTTTTCACTTTCTTGCTTCTGTTTTCTCATTTCATATATTTTTGTATATACATTTTTCTACTTCCCCTTTTCCTTGAATAATTTGGTAGTACACACAGGTTACATTAAAAACCAGTTGTTCATGTTAATATGAGGTTTAACATCCTTCATACTCTCCTTTATAGTATAAAACATCTTGTTAAAAAGCAAGGCAGAGAAATTATTTAATTGAAAGTAGTGTAAACTATGCATTTTCATGTAGTTTAATGGTCATTGTTTATTGTAATAAAAAATCACAATAACTTTATTTTTCTCACACTTATCAATCTGGAAGTTAGCGGAAGTTTTTTTCAATTAGAGATGAAAATAGAAAGAAACAGACTTTCAAGTGGGTAACATTTGAATTAATTATACTGATATGTTAATATAGATACTGAATTTTTAAGTGTTGTTTTTAATCTATTATTCTCTTGGCAAATTGCAATTAAATGAGAAAAGTTTATCAAAATACATGTTTTAAAGTAGTAAATGTGGTTAAAAATTGCATTGGTCCTCACAAACCACAGCATAGATTCCTCTCATTACATTTTTTTTAACTTCCTTCTGAGTGTGATGTAGTGAATACATTTTAAATGCCCTCAAAATTGGTATTTTAATTTTTTTCATATTAATATGTTGGAAAACTTTCTTGGACTTTTGTATAGTTATACATTGACTTTAAAAATGCTGAGATTTGAAAAATATGCACATGTGAATAAGGATACAATAGATCAAGAATCAAACATGAGCCTGCTTAAATAATTCTCAAGATTTTCTGGTTCACGTGTAGTGATATTGAACTCTTTAGTCACAGGCTTTAATTTGTGCATGGTGCTGACCTGATGCTGTGCAGGGACACTCACTGCATCCCTTCATTCAATTCACTCTAATTATCCCCAACTTCCTGGGGAGCCTGCTTAGAACTGGCCATGAATGTTTGTTATTAAGTATTAAGATATTAAACTACATGTAACAAAGTAGTTTTGAGCTGTGAATTTACATATAGATGATCAATATAAGAAATTGAAATTATATTTGTCATGAATTTATTTAATTAATTTTAAAATATATATTGATATAATAAAACGTCTTGACGATGACTTGCGCTTGGAGTAAATTAAATGAGATTTAATGTCACTGAGTTTTGGTACAGCAATTGTTTGCAATTTCAACACACCTTTAGAAGTGGATGTGGTGTGTAAATTATCTTTGAAACAATCAGATTTGTGTGCATATTTCAGAGTGATGGTAATTGTTTTTGCTGGGAGCATCTGTTAATGCAGGATTTTGCCTCTTCAGGTTCACGTGAAAATGGCGGATGAAGCTGTCTGTGTTGGCCCAGCTCCCACCAGCAAAAGCTACCTCAACATGGATGCCATCATGGAAGTCATTAAGAAAACCAGGGCCCAAGCTGTGAGTCTGAATGAGTCTATCTGCTGCAGCTGTTTCATATATAGAAAGCAGAAAAGCCAGAGTTTGTATTTAAAAAAAAAAAAAAGAGTGATTGAATATGCTATTCCAGTTAGTTCATGTCACATGAGTTAAATGTGTCCGAAATCGCTACTGGAAATCAAAGGCTTTGTAGCATCTGGCAGTGCTGGTCGCTGATCCTGCAGGTGGCTGCTGGATTCAGCTTTCACACCAGGGAGCAGCTTCAGTTCATTTCCAAATTTGCTGGGGGAAAAAAATCCCAATTAGTTTTGAGCACTAACCCTTTCTGTGCCATAACAGCTTTTTTTTAATGTTTTGATAAAGTGTGTCTAAAAAAGACTTTTGTTGAAATTCAATTTTAATCATTTTTTAAAATTATACACACACAATTACACTTGCAAAGAGGGAAATGGTGCATCCAGTAATTATTTTTGTTGTTTCATAATGCTGACAAAATGCACATTAGTGTACATGGGTAGATATGGGCTGTTCCTGCCTTCTTTCTGCCTCTAAATGGACGAGATTCAAAGTTGAACAGGAATCATATAGGAACAAATGTGTAACTGACTGTAATAATACTTTTTGCCATGGTACCAGTGAAATAGATATATTATCTGGAGCTACTGTATACAAAAACATTTTTAAATAAAATATGATGGATGGAGTTAGGCAACACCAGTAATTACCATGGAATGTCTTAATCGGTATTATCACTTCTTTTGAAATAAATGCTTCAATGTGGTGCTTGCAGGGGCAAAAAGGGTCCTGAATTTTCAAACAAATAAGACAGGTGTTTACACTATTTGTGAAGAGAGGCAATGGAGATAAAAACAGTGTATTCTTTAGTCATTAATCTATTAGAATATTTTTTTTTGGTAGAAAATTTATATGAATAGAAAACAGTGAAGTGAAACTGTTCCCTACACCGTGTTTTGTAATTACAATGGGTTTATGAAAGAGTGGCTGATAGCACACTGTGTGCCTGCTTTTGATCCCAAGACACTTGACTTATTCCCTAGGGGTGGTGGAGCATGTTCTTCCATTGGGAATCCCTAAAGGTTAGCAGTGGTAGAACTTCCTCTAATATAAACATTAGGACAATTATTAATAGCTAATACTTGGGAAAGGTTTTTTTTGGTGTTGAGAGCTTCTGGGGTCTTTAACACAGGGCTAGAAAAAGCATGAATGAGGGTAAATATATGAGGGCATTTCAGAAAGTAACAGGAATTTCAAAATAGAACCATTTTATGTGCAACGAGTAGAAAACTACACAGCAGCAGGGATCACTGGTGGGGGCATTGTTGACCACACCTGTCATACACACAACTTTGTAGAGAAGTGATGTGGTCCAGTAAATGATCACTGCAGACAAAACTGTTTTATTTCAAAATTGCTGTTACTTTCTGAAACACCCCTGTAGAAATCTGTCAAATCAGAGAAATGTCACACACAGGAGGAAAAATGGAAACATGACAGATTATCTTTTCCTTTTCTAAAGGCATCAGTACATTTTATCAATCATAGATAAAAAGTGCTGCTTCAAGAAAGCTGAAGAAGACCTGAAGAAAAATGCATTGCATTCAAAAGTGCTTTTTAAGTCTATCCCAACCATGCTGTTGGTCCAATAAAAGATATCACTCATAAAAATCCTTTCCTCAGGAAAGGTCATTTCAGTCCATTACATGTCAGTAGATGTGATTTGGGATTGCCAAATCAGTGAATTTAAGTGGTGGGTGAACAGTTGAACAGTTAAATTCTTGAGCTAATTTAAATAATTGGCGCACAGATTACTGCCTTAAATTATGACTGAATATTTAGTTTCCAGTTTTTAGATTTTAATTTAAAAACTTTATTTTACTTTTAAAGGTCCACCCAGGATATGGATTTCTTTCAGAAAACAAAGAATTTGCTAGGCGTCTGGTAAGTTGTTTTTTGTTGTGGCAAATTTCTTTTAGCTTTTAAACTTTTGCATGGCATGGGAAAATGTACTGAGAGAGCACCTTTTCTGGAAACCTCTGTCACCCTGTGTAGATGACTGAAAATGTTGTTGCTTCATATCTCTTCTAAGCTGCATGTACTCCAAAGGAACAAAACGGATGGTTTATGATTTGAAGTTGCAGAATCAAAATCCCGATTTATGTGGAATGTAGAAGACACTTCTGCAATAGAGGAATTCTATGGCTTTTAGAGGGAGACAAAAGTAGCTTAATTGACAGCTGTATTTTATTTTTATTTGGTGAAATATATGAAGCACAAATGTATTAAAAAGATATCCCCACTTAAAGTTTGAATTTATAAAAATACTTAAGCATGTGAATGTATTATTGTAGCTCATCTTTTTATATGACAAAGCTGACTAAAATTTATTTAAATGGTTTAGTACATTTATTTTAATGGTTGAACCAAGCTCTTAGTTCTACAGATACTTAGGAATGTGAATAGTCCTCGCAGTTAGTGTGTGTGTGTGTGTGTGTGTGTGTGTGTGTGTGTGTGTGTGTGTGTGTGTGTGTG